GCAGGAAGGTGAATGCCTTGGCCTTCAGTGTTTGCCAGTGCCCTTGTGGCGGGGAGGGCAGTGTCATTACATGACCACGTGGCAGCAGTGTTGACGTGGCTCTGCCCTCCAGCATAGCGTGTTAGAGGTCCCATGATTTCAAAACGCCTGTCCTGACAATTTGGGACTCCCTGATCACACCCCTCTTCCTGAACCAACTGAGGTTTTTATCGCCTCAGTCCAGAAGGCCTGGCGGGCTTACAGACGTGAGCTCACTGCTGCACTGTTGGCACTTCCGTGGCGTGCCATGGTGGCAAGGCAGGTGGCCTTCATAGCCATTGGCCACTCTGCAGCAGCGCCCACCCCAGGGATCCTGCACGTGCCACATTGTAGCACTGCATTTTGACCCAGGAGAAGGCTGAGAAAAAGAAAGGGACCAGCACCAAATGGCCCTGCCCTGAGGTGGTAGAGGCAAGCCCTCCCTCCCAGGGCTTCTACTGCCAGGCAGTCTGCAGCTGTCTCAGGGCCTGTGGGCTTAGGTGTTTCCGTCCCCACGGCACCACTCGGTAGTTCACCTCAGGCACCCTGCCACTCTTCCCGCTGCCCCTCTCTCCCTCACTCACTCAGGTTCAGCCCTTTTCCCTGAGGGGACAGGTGGTAAAAGGTGCGGCTCCCTCTGCTTCGGAGCTGCCTTGCCAATAAACCTGCGCTGTGCTGCAGTCGCCTGCCAGAAAACGATTCCTGGGGTACCAAGTGCCCTGAAGGCCTTGTACCTCCCTCCTTACTGATGTTGACTATCTTGATTCTCTGCACCTTGACCCTTTGACCTCAGTTGTGGAGTGTGTTTTTCCAGACATCGTGGGGGAGAGAGAGGCAGAGGGTAGTGTGGGGGGAGACGGGTCTCACAGTCCTGAGCTCCCACTAGGATGAGGAATACCGAGCATCCTGTCCCAGGGCAGAGGGAGGGGTGGGTGCCCACTGGGGGCTATTTGAGAATAATTCAAATTTCAGCTCAATTTAGCGCTGGAGTTTCTAGAATTGAGTTGTGTTTTATAGTGACAGCCTATGAAGCTGTCCAGCCTCTGAGACGTCTCTGTGATGAGGAAGGAAAGCCAGTCGGCAAGTCTGTGTGCTGCAGGCAGGCCAGCTGGAACCTGCGTTTGGCTTCTTGCAGGACAGTATCAGCTTGCTGCTGGAGGCTGTGCGGACCCGCAATGAGGAGCTGGCTCAGACGTGGAAGAAGTCGGAGCAGTGGGCCACCATAGAGCAGCTCTGCAGTGAGTACCCCACCCCGCCTCCGGGCTGCCAGCAGATGGGCTCCTGCTGGTTTTGCCTTGGGCTCCTGTTCCCAGGGGCCCAGCTGGAGAGGGTCTTGGCTCTGTTGATACCAGAGCTCCAGAAACCCGCGACTTACAGGCTTTGGAACTCGCTCTGCTGCACTTCATTGTTATTTGCTGTAGGGTGCGTGTGCTTGCCAGAGCGGACTGAGAAAGCACCTCTGGGGTGGCCACACCACAGTCCCTTCTCCTCCATTCTTTTTGGAGTTTTGGGCACACACGTACATGCACCTGGCATGCTTTCCAGCTGCAGGGTCCAAGACCCAGACTCTGCTGTCACCATGTAGGGTCTGGTGCCCAACCACCATGTCATTGGCTTTTTTTTTTTTTTTTAAGTATTTCTTTCCACAAACGGGACAGAAGCAGTGCTTCCAGCATTGTCTTGCCACACTTTCCCGCCTGCCTCCACCAACCCTGGGTCCTGGGTACACAGGTGCCAGCAGCACTCAAGGAGGGGCCCAGGCCTGGACTGAGAGCTTTCCCACAGGCAGCCTCTCTCCGCGTCGTGTTGTGGGGCTGTGCCCTATCTGGCCTCTGTGGCATGCTTTATGTTTCTGTGGTCCTCTTTTGACATTGTCCCTAGTCTGTTGCTGCCGTGCTGTGCCTGGCGCTCCTCCTGCCCTTGGGTTTGGAAATGCTGTGTAGGAGTTCTTGAGAGGGGAGCGGACACACTGTGCCCACCAGACCTTACAGCAACCCCCAGCCTCGCCCCCACACTGACTGCTGTGGGCATCTCACCGCCCTGCAGCCCAGGCCCTGCCCCAGCCCCCCACGGTGGCTCCCTCCGTGGGCATGCTCTTGGCCCTTGACCTAGGAATACGGCAGTGGTGGCCGGGACCTTTGGGCCTCCTGCTCAGCCCAGGGAGAGCCAGAGACTGGGTACAGGCAGGGGGAAGGCAGATGCCCCGGCCCTGGAGGGTAGGCTGACCAGGAGGTGGGCGGTCAGAGCCTTCCGGGTGCTAGGCTGCCTCTGCCAGCCCCTAAGATGCTTGGCTGCACCCCTCAGACTCAGGGCCAGGAGAGTCCCAAACTCAGGTGAGGCCACACCCACACATAGGCTGGTGGCAGTGGCCGTTCTGCTGAGGAGCAAGCGTGCACTCCTTGGGGCTCTGCGAAGTGCATGGCACCGTAGCTGGGCCCTCTGCACACAGACAGAGCCAGGGCGGGCTTGGCAGTGGCTCAGCATAACGCCTTGCAGACCTGGCACCCACAGCTCCGTGGCTCTGCTGAGCCGCACAGTGCCAGGACGCAGTGAGCACGAGGCGCACCTTGTTAGAAGCCTTGGCCATCCCCCACCTGGTCAGCACAGTCCAGTCAGAGCCTGCATGGACGTTTCCCCTTGGTTAAAATTTAAGTCTGGTGCTCCAGGCACACCACTGATCACAGCATGGCAGAGACCCTGCCTCTCTCTGTGCCTCCCCGACTGCATGGGGGAAAGACGCGTTAAAACAGAGTTAAATCCGGGAACCAGCAGTTAGTGTAATGGCTGTGTTGCTGGACTCCCATGTAGTCGACCGCGGTTCGCATCCCGGACCCGGTGGCTTAAAACTCCGGGTGCGTGTGCGTGCGTGCCCAAGATCCCGAGAGGAGCACGGAGGAGAAGGGATTGCGGCGTGACCATCCCCCCTGGGGGGTGATTTCTCGCTTTCTGTCTCTAATGTCTCTCTCTGTCTGTCTGGCGAGCGCACGCGCCCTATAGCGAAAATCTCTCCAAAAAAAAAGAAAGAAAAAAAAGAAAACAGAGTTAAATCCGAGGGCCTGGGACAGCTGACAACCTGGGGAACGGGCATGAAGCCGGGGCTGTGCATTAGCTGGGCGCAGGGCCAGGGTCAGGCTTTAGGGTAGGCAGCCTGTCGGCCAGGTAGAGCAGAGGTCAGTGGGTCAGCCAACCCCAGAGCAGTGGCCCAGGCGGGGCGTCTCAAGGAGCGTGACCATGGCATAAGGGGTCTCTGGTGAAGATCAGCTCAGGATAGGCCGCAGGCCTACTGGAGACAGCTGAAACTAGATGGCCTCTTTATGGAGTGAAGCCCAGCAGTGGGAACGTGTGCTGCCTGGTGCCGCTGCGTGTCTGGGGCCCCGCGGGAGGCCTTGGGTTCAATTTCCCACCACCCTAAAAGCTGAGTGTCTAGCACATGCCTTGTCCCAGCGACAGCTACTCGCGAGGCCGACGCAGGGCGACTGTGCTGCAGCCAGACCCTGCCTGTAAGACATTTTTAAGGGGCTGGCAGGTGGTGTGGTAGTTAAAGGTGCTGGATTCCCACATGGCCGACCATGGTTTGAGGCCCAGACCTGGCAACTTGCTTTCTCTTTTTCCCTTTTTCTCTCTCTCTGGTCAAATTAAAAGTAATAATGATAACAACAAATGGAATTAAATAATTAAATGTTTTTAAAAAAGAAAGTAAGTGTTTAGACAGTGTCTTCAGGACCGTCGGTGAGGGCCCTTTTAGGCAGGACGTAGGACCTCGGGGTGGGCACAGGGAACACTGGCTGTGAGGAGTCGGTGAACTGGGTTTCAGCACAACAAAGTGCCTGTGCTCCTCAAAACGTGGACAGTGGAGGGGCACGTGCCACAGGGTCTCCTGTCCCAGCCACGGACACCGAGCAGCTGCAGCAGTGCACAATAGGGCCGGCACAGGAGGTCACAGGAGGAGACAGCAGCATGCCGTCGCTCACCAGCCACACGCTGACACGTACACTGGGCTCTAGGGGAAACCCCAACTTACCAAGGGCTGTTGGCGCTGTGTGACTGCAGCCCTGGCCCTGCTGGCGGGCTGCAGCTGGAGCAGCCTCTGGACAGCACCCGGCTGTGTCTTAGGAAGGCCGTCAGGCTTGCTGCTGGCGTGGAGGTTACGGTGGCTGGACCCCATGTGGCTGGCTGCATGGTTTGAGCCCCAAACACAGTGCCTTAAGAAATATGCCAAGTGCGTGTTTGTGCATTCCAGAAATCTCAAGAGGAGAAGGGATTGGCATGGCCGTCAGTCCTGAGGGAATTTTCTCTTTCTCTGTTTCTCTCCGGAAGCACAGGCATCCTATAGCAAAACTTAAAAAAATAAAGTGGCAACCAGCATCCACAGACCTGTGACCTTGGCAATCCCACTTTTCAGCTTTTACCCGGAAGAGTACCCACACAGGGCCGTCAGCAGAAGCTGTGAGAATGTCCAGGACAGCTTTGTCATAATAGCTCAAAATGGGGACTGGCCCTGCCACCTGCCAGCACGTGTGACAGTGACTGGGGGAGCAGGACACCGAGCGTGCAGTGAAGGCAGGGGCATGGGGGCGGGGTCCCTCCAGCTCGCCCATCCCTGTGGGTGCGCAAAGCTGCACAGGCAGCAGCGTGGGAGCCATGTCGTGTGAGCTGCCTTTGCCCACTCTGTGGACAGCACTGGGGGCCACTCCCTGTGCGAGAATGACCACCATTCGCTTCTCTCCCTCCACAGGCACTGTCGGCGTGCAGCTCCCGGGCCTGCAGGAGTACGGCGCGGCGGGGGGCTCCACGCACCCTGCTGCCGCCGCGTGGGCCTGTCAGCACTGCACCTTTGTGAACCAGCCAGGCACAGCCCACTGCGAGATGTGCAGCCTGCCCAGGACCTAGGGAATGGCCCTACCAAGCCAGGAGTGCTGTGTGGCTGTACCTCAAGGCCACTGTGGGTAGCAGAGGGGCGGGGTGCCTCCCCTGGGGCCTCCAGCCCACCGGAGCTTCACCACGCTGTCATTACCTGGAGAGGAGCAGCCACAGGTTCTGCGGGCTGAATGTGCTCTCCAACCTGGACATGCCCCACTGCCTGGCCACGTGAACAGCCCCACTGGCAGAAGGCTGGGCACCTCTCATCATCTCCTGAAATTGGGGGTCCGGGGAGGGTTGCTGCTGCCGCTGGCTTTCCTTTTCCTTCCTCTTTGATGCTTCTGTCCCCACCCCATGTCAGTGGTTGGGAGCTTTTGGCCGTCCTGCTGGGCTCCGGCAGAGACCCTGCCCACGAGGGCTGCTGTGGCCCCCCGTGGCCGCTGCCTGGTGGAGCGAGGACAGCTGCGGGCCGGTCCCCCATCGGCCTGGTTGGCTGTTAGTTTGCTGCCCACCTGTGCCCAGCTCTCGCCCAACATCCAGGTGGGGTCTCAAAGTCTGGTTGGTCTAATAACAGTTCTTGCAAATTCCTGCCAAGAGACTTTATTTATTTTCTGATAGAAGCTACACAGAGGGGCAGAGAGCCTCGTCCGCCCCTTCCCTCCCCAGGGAAGTCCCTGCGTGTGTGCTGCGAGTGGATGCACTCCTTCCATGTAACCTCAGTGCCTGAGACTACTAAGCCCCAGCTGTGTCTGTGCAGGAGCACCGGGGTGGCTCTAGCCCCATGGGTGCCCCGTGAATGCTGGGTGGGTGGGGTTGCCCAAGACCTGCCTGGATCCCCTCCACCACCTGCCATACCTCTCCCTTGCCTCCCTGGCCCTCAGTATAGTGCTGTGGCCTTGAGATAGGCCTGGCGAGGGCCTCTGGGCCACCATGGGCCTGGACGGTTGCTGTCGTGCTGACGGCATGGGCTCTGGGCAGTCTGGACAGGGTCATGGGGGAGCAGGCAGCGTCCTCTGTGGTCTCTAAGCGTCCTCTTGCTGGGCTGTGGCACAGTCCTTCCACGGGGGTCGTGGGCATCGTGATGCCCCTGTGCCTTAATAGCCGTGTCTGAGCTGCATTGCTCCACCGTGCCTGGGCCTCCGCCTCTGTCCGGGGCTCAGGCCTCTGCTCCTTGTCCTCAGCAGGGCAGACAGAACACTCTCCTGTTGGGCTCTCGTGAGACCAGTGCTGCGGCTGACACCTGGGCCCACCTGGTGTGGGGTGCTGAGTGCACCAACGTGCCCTGCCTGTGCTCTTAGGACCAAGGCCAGTGGTGCTGGGTCTGGTCACAGCGCAGCCACCCTGTAGGTCAGGAGAGTAGGCGGGTGGCTGGGCTAAGCACACTCCTGGGCGCGCTCCCCAGCTCTGCTGCCAGCAGCTGAGAAGGTGTGGAGGCCACTTGGCCCCTCTGGGCACCAGCCCTGGCTGGAGTTGACCTTCCTCTGTCTTGTCTGGTCCTAAGGTCAGCCCCGAGGCTTAATGGCCTGGGCTCCTGGCCCTCTGCTCACCTGTGTGACTCCAAGACACTTCACGCCCACTCCATGTCCCCACTGGTCAGGTGCCCAACAACACAGACTTCCAGAGCCCTCCCCACCACCACCATCGGTCCCCATCCCCCATCGTTACCCTCCAAGCTAGTCGTCTTTTCTCTGCAACCAGTATTCTCTCACCCTGGCATTCTGGCACCCCACGTAATTCATGTTTTCTTTTGTCTTTCAGCTAAAGAAAAAGCATTGTGATTTCTCTGCTTCTGGTTTTGAGTTACTCTTTGTTCAGTATTGCACTTTATTTTATTGTCCAAAGAGTCTGAGCTAAGTGGACAGGCCCCTGGCAGCATAGCCTCCCTCTCGCATGGGGGTGGGCCAGCCCTCTCTGGCATCCCCACACCTGCCCAGGTGAGCAAGGCCAGGCCGGCCTATCTTGGCTCGGAGAGGCGGCAGGGTCTGCCCTCAGCTGCCTCCCACCATATGCTCTGGCCTGGAGGTGCTCTCAGCAGCACTGCTGTGGGCTCCTAGGTGTACGGGGCTGGGTGTGGGACAGTGTCACTGTCGCTCCAGCCCTACATGGACCTAATAAAGGCCTGAAGTGACTGCCCTGCCCCTGGTGGTGGTCCTGTGCTCTGAACCTCAGTCCACAGGTCAGGTATGGGGCAACTTGGGCACTTGTCCCCGAGACGCCACTGTTCTCCACCAGTGCGGTTGGTCCCCTCCCTTGCCTGGCTCCTCTGCTCGGCCTTCCCACCCAGCGTCTGGGTGTGAGGGAGGCCCTGGCTCCCTTGAGCACATCCTCTTCCCCACCTGCCAGCCACTTACGTGCTCCTGGTGTCGGCCTCACCGACCAGGGAGCCCAAGCTGCACAGTACCGTGCTGTCCTTCCTCGGAAGGGCCAGACGGCAGCGGCCTTGGCCTCCACGCCCGCCCTTTGGCACCACCCTGGGCACTGGCCTGGGCAGCTGGGCATCTCCTTGAGCTGTTAACAAATAGCTCAGAGCCCTCTGCAGCTGATGTCTGGAGCACCCTAGGTGGGCAGGCCATGGCTGAGAGGCAGCCCAGCTTTTGCAGCCAGCAGCCGGGCTTTCAGTCACGGAGCAGCCTCCCTCAGCAGCCTGCCCCTGTCACCCAGGGCTTCGGGCTGCGGGTCCAGCTAACGCTCACCCTTGTAGACCCTAGAAGACCCCAGGAGACCCAGCGGCTCACCTGAGCCCCAGCCCTGCCCACCCTCCCTGTGTTTCCTGTCTGGCTCTGCTGTGATGAGATGTGGTTCTGGCTGCCCATGATGGTCCAGCTTCATGCCCAGCTTCCTGAGACCTTCAGCCACGGGCGCACTGCCTGCACGCGCCTGCTAGGTGTGCTGTGCCAGCCACAGTGGAGAGGCGCTCCCTCCGCACCCCTAGCCACATACCTGCCGAGGCGCGCTGACATCCCCAGGGAGTCCCTGTGATAGGCTGTGCTCAGGACCTCAACGCTTCCTCTCAGTATATGGGGGTGGCTCACCGAGTGAAGCCTGCTGTGCCCAGCCCTCCCCCATGTCATTCCTCGTGAGCCTGGCATGGTTTCCTCCAGGCTGGCAAGTGGCCCGTATGTGATGGACAACTTACAGCCACTGAGGACTGCCATGGGGGGGACAGTGAGTGGCAGGAAAGCCAGTGTGGACACCTGGCCACCATGAGTGAGCCAAGAGGAGATGGCTGTGGGGAGGAGCACCCCAGCCTTTCCCTCCCAGCACTGAGGACTGGGTGGTGGGAGGAGCAGCAACCGCTGCGCCCTGGGTGGTTGGGGCACCGGCCATTGGTTCTCTGTGTGGGCAGGAACACCAGGGCTGGTGCTGCCCGCGCCTGGCTGTGCTGCGGGCCTCTGCTGTGCCCGCCCGCCTCTTCTGGTCCACACGCTGGCACTGTTAGAGGTGCCCTGGGCTCTCCCAGAAGGGCTCCTGGCCGCCCCCTGGTGGTCATCTCGCTCTGAGCCCTGGCATGGCTGGTCGCAGCCTTCAGGGAGGGAGTTCGGAGGGGCTTTCTGGAGGAGGGTGGGCCGGCCTGCGCTGGCCTGCTGGCCTCGCCCTCTCGGGCCGTTTCTGGGGAGCGGCTTCCTCCAGGCTCAGCCAGTCGTTTCTCTACAGTTCTCTGCTCCCGAGCCAGGAACCCCTCTGGCTTAGTAGTGGCCGCCACTGTCCAGGCGTGGGGGGAGAGGCGACCTAGTCCCGCTCCAACCCGGCAGTGTCCTGGTCACCGGGCCTAGCAGGCCAGCTCGGCGGCACAGTCCCCAGAGGGGCCGTCCAGCCCTGCTTTCGCACCCCGGACCCCGGGTCCGCGGGTCGTGGGAGGTGCTGCCCTGAGGGCCCGCCCAGGAAGGCGACCCCTCGAGGCGTGGTGCGGAAGGGC